TGCCCGAGTTCCTATGCTTCAGCCCGAGGATCAGACTGGTTAGCATTGTTGGGCCCCATGGTGGTCTCAGCCCCAGCAGCAGAAGAAGAGGCTTTGCACTCTGCCGAGCCTCCCTTTCCCTCTGTTCAGCCTCCAACTCCATTCTCTCAGCTTCTTCTTCGGCTTCCTCAGCCTTAAGGATTTCAGCTTCGACTGGAGTTGCATACTTCATATGAGGGTCTTCGGGATCCTGGACCCATTCAACACATTTGGACCAGTCCAACTTCGGCTCAGCATGAAAGCAGACTCTTTGGCACACTCTGAACCCGTTTCTGAAACCCATTTCATATTCTTCCTGGGTATAGACACGGACTTTGAGTAGAGCCTCAGCATCAGCCAACTTCTTCTAGGTCTCCTCCAAGTCTTCCTTGGATTTCTTCAGCTCATCGGCGAGCTTGAAGGAGGAACCTTTCAGCTCATTCAGCTGCTGCTGAACTTGGGAAGCCTATGTCTGGGCCTGGGCCACTTCTTCCTTTTTGGCCATCAGCTGATCCTCAGCTTCTTGGAGCTTAGCTCTCTGAGCTTCAGCAGCAGCAGCAGCCTCTGAGAGTTGGACATCCCTGGCTTGGAGCATCTCTTCAGCAGCCATTCTGCTGGCTTCAAGAGCTTCTAGCCGTTGCTGCACTTCAGCTTGTGCAGCGGCTCCTTCCTGGATTCCGCTCTCAATGGTAGCCTTGAATTTGGAGATATCCACTCCCATGTGCTCTTGGAGGAATTTTTCCCCTTCCATCAGTGGGGGAAAAACTTCCTTCTCCATAGCATCGCAGAAGGTTTTGAAGGCTTCAGCAGCTTTTTTCTCATATTCTTCACCCTTCTGCTGCTTCTCTTCAGCTGCTGCTTGCTTCAGCTTAGCAAGCTTTAACTCCTCTTCGGCTACCTTTTTGTCGTGCTCGGCAGCGTCTACCCTATCTTGTAGGGTATCTATCAGCTCTACAGTGAGAGTCTGATTGTGCACGAACTGAAAACAGGAGCACAAGTTAAAATAAAAAATAATAATAATAATGATAAGTAAAGAGCTGAATTTTAAAGGAGATAAAGGCAAGGAAAATCACCTGCATCATCAGCAGTTGGTTAGACCTGGCTGGGTCAGGAACTGATCTGCTGGATTCGCCCATCCCAACAGTGGCCTTCAGCGACCAGATTCTTGCCCTATCTACTTCGGACATGCCAGCAAAATCGCCGAAGTAGGCTGCAGCACCTTCTCGGTTCTGACCCCATATGAGGTCCCAGATGTGATCTGGGATTGGAATTCGGGGGGCCGAGAAACCCATTTCTCCAGATTGCAGAGTCTGGAAAGAAGGAAAGGATGACGATGGAGCTTCTTTAACTTTGGATGGCTCAGCATCCTCCTTCTCAGAAGAGTCAATTATTATGACCTCTTCTTCTTCAGGGGTGAGGACGAAGGCCTTAACCTCTCTTGCAATGTCTGCCGTGAAACCCTCAGCACTGGGCATCACGGCATCCTCATTCTTGTGCTCAGCAGCACTCTCTTGAACTTCTTCTTGGACCCCTCCCTTAGGTTCAGGAGTTTTCTGATCCACCTCCATCTCGGGAGGTGGCGGAGGGGTCTTTGGAGGTGATTGAGGTGGTGGCCGAGGAACCCTCGGCGATCCATTGCCTTCCTCGGGTTCCCTTATTTCGACGCCGATGGTCATCGGCCTCCGCTGAAAGTCATGGGGGCCGATGATGGCCATTCTTCGGCGCCTTTTCTGAAGCGGTTGCTCGTCCATGTCTGAGTCTGAGGACTCTTCTTGTATCTGGTCTTCGGGACGAACAAGGGCTTTCCCTTCTCTGTGTCTATTACTCTCTTCAGACTGTAAAATACAAGGGGGGAGGAAGAATGTGAGTAAATAAAAAAAAAACAAAACAACAAAACAACAAACAGAAACAGATAATAAGTCTGAAAGCTCACCGAGGTCTTCAGCAAAGCCTCGTCTTCTTCAGCTGCCCTAGCTGCAGCTTCTTCTTCAGCAGCCCTGGAGGACCCTTCTCCTCCTTCACAAGCTTCAATAACCCGTGCAACCTCTTCGGCCGTACGGGGAGCTTCAGCTTCTTCCTCCAGCAGCTGAAACCAGGGATCTCTCTTCTTTCACCAAGGCTTCTGCCTCTGATACAGAGCAACAGCCTCAATTTGGAAGTGGGAAGAGTCTAGATGAACTTCTCTATGCCGCGGTTCAGTGATAGAGGGGGCCCGATCAGTTACAACTCGTTCTCGGTTGACGCCAAGACGAGCGTAGTTAATGCCGACGTTGGTCTCGTCCCGCTCTGAAAAAGAAAAGGGGAAAGGTCAGTTCAGTTAGGTTGGAACAGCATAAAAAAGCGAAGTGAGAGGAGAAACAGAGATAATTAAAAGGCCTCGGCCCCAGCCGAAGAAGCTTATCATCCTTAAACTTTCGGAGGCCGACAGCTGCTAGCATGTTCTCTTGGAAAACATAATGCGTATCGGGGAGCCAAGTCTCCGGGATATGCTGCATTCGGCCGCTGCCCCCCCGGTTCGGCAGCTTGCCGAAGATATTCTGTTGATTAAGGTTTGGATCTGGGCCGTTATCTGCGGGGGGACCTAAACTTCCCATGTCGGGATCAGGCTCAGCAAGGTACCGGGGAGCGCTGAAGACGCAAGGGTGGCCCGGGTCCGTGGGTGCCCTAACCCAAATCCATTGACCTCTCCAGTCCTTGTCTGAAGAGTCGTTCGGCCACATGGTTAGGTACTGGGGCCGAGACTCAATCCGGTACCACCCAGAACCATGACTTCCGTGCCCACTTTGAATATTTGGCACTAGCCGATGAAGCTTTTTGAAGCAGTGCAGGTTCGGCACATACCTGAAGAACTTGCAGACCCATAAGTATGTCATCACCCTTCGGATGCTAATAGGAGTAGCTGACATAGGGAAATATTGTAATGGATCAGCAAGTCTCGGACGAATACGTCCAAAGGGAACCTCAGCCCATACTGAAGTTGTCTTGTGTACACCCCCACATACCCCGGGGGTGGACGATGGATTCTATCGGATGCCACGGGCTTTCGGCACCAATGCCCATCAGCTTCAAGGATGTCGTAATGCTACTCAATTTGTTCGGCAAACCGATACTGTTCGGCATTCTCCACCCACCATGAGTAGGGGCGGTTCTTTATCATGGCCGAAGCTACTTCGGCATCCTCCCACTCTGAAAACCCGGGAAGGATATCCCAAAGGACAGCGGGAACTTCATCGTCCCGCCCAGAAGCGCTCGGCCCCTCCGTTCTCTGAGGAGGAGCCGAGGAAATTGGAGTCGCCCTAATCCCTTCAGCAGGGTCAGACTCTGCTCTTTGTCCATTCCAGGTCCCAATCCTGTTCCTGGGATCGGGAATTGGCCTTGCTCTTCTTGGAGCACGGGCTCTACCCCTATCTCCTCTCGCCATTGATAATTTCGAAGAAAAAAGTCGAAAAAAAGGGAAGGAGTTCAAATTCGAAGAAAAATAAACTAAAATCAAAGGAATTTACCTTAATCTGAAGCGAAAGTTGCCGATTTACGAATTGGTAGTGGCGAGTCTCAGTTTCTAAGCTTAATGCTCGGGGAATTTGCAAAGTTTTGATGCGGGTTCTTGGGTTCTCTCGAGAATTCTGGGTTTGTGTTGGTGAATAAGTGAGGAGAGATGACGCGCCTCTAATTATATCTCCAGAAATGGGAATACGGGGAGTCCGCGTTTCAATTTCTCTTAAATACCCCACTAAGTAACCGTTAAACACACGACCTTGCGATTAAACTGCCCATTATCCGTCCAACTTCCACAATTATCCGCCTTAACTGTTGTTATCTCATTAATTACGGTTTAAATTCAAATTTTTGGATTAATTAAATCATTCACTTCCCTCCTTTTCTGATTAAATCAAACCCGACCCGTCATCCTTCTAAATCGGGTCTGGGGGGCAAGTTGTTTGGGTCCAATTTAGTCCAATTGGGCCTAGGCATTAAATGATCCAATTAAAAGCCCAAGGTCAAGGTTCATCCCTCCAATTATGCTAAAGTCAAAGATCAGTCCTCAAGGCAAACCAATTGGGCTAAGGCCCAACTTCTCCATGTATGCAAAGGTATAAAAGCCATCAATATTACATTTGTACATTCATTCAAGCAAAGCCTCAAGCAATTAATTCTCTTGCATAGTGTTCTCTTTCTACACACTGTACTGACTTTAGCATCAGAGGGGTCTTCCTCGGCAACACCCCCGAGGCTAGTTTATGTGTGTTTATTGTGCAGGAAACCTTCGGCCCAACATTACTTGGATCGAATCTAGTCTTCTCCACTTCAACGGACCTTCGACAAGGTCCCATTGTTTTCACCCGAAACAACTACTTAATTGGAGAGAGTAGTGAGAATTTCGATCATCACATACCTGATGAATATCGCCCATAAAGTGTGACAGAAATAGCAATGCCTCAGTCATATTATCTGCATTTTTTAAGGTAATACCATGTCAGAAATAAGTGTTCAAAGTAACTTGATACGAAGTGAGTATCGTACTTAACATGTGCCCGCTAAAAAGGGGAAATTTCTTGTTTCTCCTATTGATTAACAAGTTTTGTTTCTTGTTTTTCATAGGGTATGTGTCAAGATATATGAGGTCCATCCAAAATTGACAGGCGGTCCCCACCAGTGAAAAACATCATATTATTTTCCAAAATGCCATTATGAGGAACAAAAGTGTTTCTCATGAAGAGAAACTGGGACTCCCTCCGCTAAAAAAAACAAATATAAACGAGTAGTACCGTAAATTAAAAGATCTTACATCTCCGATCAGCAGTTCCTTCGCAGTAATGCTCAAGTTGGGATGTGTAATTTTGAATAGCACCAGCAACACACATATCCTCCACACCATGTTGATCATGACAATCCCTGGAAATCAATCCAACCATATATATATATTATAAGAGAGATGAAGCTAACTAATCGCGCTTATATGTTATAAGATGAGATGAAGCTAACTAATCTACTTGTAACTGTTTCAAGTGCTTACGTTTATAATTGAAAGAGCAAGAATCATCAGGAGTATCAATGAAGTGAAGAGGGCTAGTCCAGCGGTATTTGTACCAATGCCTTACTTGGTCTGGCCACACACATAACGCCGATAAGTTACCATTTAAATTGTCTGGTAATAATTTCTTCACTGCATCTAGTGCCTCTGGTTCCAACAGATCCTGCATAACACAGTTATTTACAAAATGTTGTTTAGTTTAACTTCCCATTAATCAATTTTGTTATACATTAAATTAAATGTGGGCTAGATATATTAGAAATTAACAATCGATATTGGTCATTTGGAGCATCTACACGTGACACGTACACAACATTTAATGTATAATATACGACTTTGCAATTAAATGATAGATATATCCGTACAAGGAAGGTTGATATGTGATCATAATCCAACTAAAATTAATAAATTAAATAAACCGGATTTTGCTGATAGATAGTTTCCAAAGATAGTAAATTAAATTGTTTTCCCTGGTGTATGTAGTTGCTTTAATTATACTTCATCCTAATAGAAGCTATGTACTATTTTTTGAGTTCCTTGGATTGTCTGTTTTCAAACATTTGGAGTCTGCTTAACTCAAGACTGTTTTTTGAGTACAAGGCAAGCAAGTTCTAAGTATTACGACAACAAAAGTTCATCACATCACAAAGTTGGTAGGGTGGAAAATGACTCAAGCCACATTCGACGTAAGCTTCAATGTCGTACAAGAGAAATTTAATTTGTTGGCGTTATATCACTTAGCTTGTGTTTGGGTCCAATTTAGTCAAAATTGGGCCTAAGCACTAAATGATCCAATTAAAAGCCCAAGGTCAAGGTTCAACCCTCCAATTGCACAAAAGTCAAAGGTCAGCCCACAAAGCATGCCAATTGGGCTAAGGCCCAACCTCACCATGTATGATGAGGTATAAAAGCCATCATATTGACACATTCAAGGAGATTCTGAGTGATATGCTCATTCTTGCATTCAGAAATATTCCACAAAAGCCTCAAGCTACAAACTCTCTTGCATAGTGTCTTCCTTTTACACATTGTACTGACTTTAGCATCGGAGGGGCCTTCCTCGGAAACACCCCCGAGGCTAGTTTACGTGTGTTCACTGTGCAGGAAACCTTCGGCCCAACACAACTTGGACCGAATCCAGTCTTCTCCATTTCAGCGGACCTTCGGCAAGGTCCCATTGTTTTCAACCGAAACAATTTGGCGCCGTCTGTGGGGAAGACTTTAAAAAATCTTTAAGCCAAATTCCTAACCAAGATCATCTTGCAGTTATCTTAGCAGCCATGGCTAAGAACCGCAAGAGCAAAAGCCTCCGTCAAGGAGCGGGCGAAAAGCCTAAAACCCCTACACCATCGCCCTCGCCGGACCGGAACTCTCCCAAGGGTGCCGGCTCGGGGGGAGGATCATACAAGGAGGATTCCCTATCTCCCGTAATGCATGACTCTCAATATAGGCCGGACCACTCTCGGTCTAGCAGGGGTCAGTCTGATCATAGGACATATTCAGTGTCCCAAAGCCAACCATCGGCTGCACGACCTCATTCCCACACTCGGCCGAGGACCCCTTTGACGGGGCCCAGTTCGGAAGAGGTGGCAAGAGCGCTGGCAGTACTCATGGAGGCAATGAGGGCACAGAATATGCCACCGCCTCGTGATCGAACTCCTCCGCATACCCGGCATCAGCGGAGGAAGTTAGACCATGACGGCGGGAAGCTTCCTTCCTTCCGGGAACTGGAAGATTGGGAGGAGGATTCTTGGAAAAATGAAAAACAGAGGAAAAAGAACTCTCAATTATTTAAAGGATCCTCATCCTCAAGACCAGAAGCGCATAAGAGCAGCAGCTCAGCTTCTCGGCCAGAATCTACTCGCCGAGAACCTGAGACTGTTCGCAGAAGCGTCCTTGACCGACTCGGCGGCCAGGAACCGAGCGTGCGTAGTCGCCTCTCGTTCCCTGCAGCCGAGGCCCGGACTTCCCAGCCAGGGACGAAAACCACTCCTACCTCTCTAAGAGGGCGGAGCGCGGTCCCTTCGGCCAGGATCAAGGGCAAGGCCGTTATGCTACCCGCTAGTTCACCATTCGAGCAATGGATACTGGAAGAGAGCGTACCCACGGTTAAAATACCGTCGCATATCACATATGACGGGACCACGGATCCGAAGGACCACGTGGCCTCGTATGAGACTCATATGCATCTTTGCCCCAGATCCGAGGCGACTTGGTGCAAATATTTCCCAACCACTCTCAAGGGGGTCGCGCAAGCGTGGATCTCCAAGGGAGTAAGGCAAGGCTCCATAACAGGTTGGGATGATCTGTCCTCCAAGTTCAGGAGCAAGTTTTCCACGGCAAACCGCCGAGAGAAGACTACCGCAGAGCTCATGAGTCTGCAACAGGGGGAAACCGAAAGCCTCCGAGACTACCTGACCCGTTTCAGTAACGAGTCATCAAGCGTCTCCCAGCTGGACCAGGGGTTAGCTGTTTTTGCAATGCAGAATGGCCTTCAGCCAGGAAAGTTCCTAGACTTCATGGTCATGCATACCCCGCAGACCTTGGAGGAAGCTCTTAGTGCTTCGGATAAGTTCATCCGAGCCGAAGAATGGAATAAAGCAAAAACCCAACCTCAATCCGGGGGAGGGAAACAGAGGCAAATACCCTTGTCTGAAGGCCAAGGCCATAAGACAAAGGGAAAATCAAAGGCTCCGGAGCCATCTTTGGCCAACGACCTAAAGAAGGACAGATTTGCCTCATACACAGGCAGATACGAGTCCTACACTCCGCTCTCTCTTCCACGCGCCAAAATTTACAGTGTGACGAAGGAGGAGCAGAGTTACCGAAAGTCGAGACCACTCCCAGAGTAGTATCAGCGAAAAAATAAAAATCAGTGGTGTGAGTTCCACGAGTCTTCGGGCCACAACACTGAGGAGTGTATCCAACTGAAGGACCAGATAGAGGACATGGTCCGGAAGGGATACTTGAAAAAATACATCGCGGATCACCGCGAGAAAAAAGAATCCGAGAGGTCAGCAAAGGACCCTCGGCAGGACCTTGATTTCCCCCGGAAAAACAGTAAAAAACCGGAGGGGAAATTCCCTCCGATCAATGTTATCTCGGGAGGAATATACTCTCGGAGGGAGCACAAGCGTCACCTTAGAGCTTTGACTCACCAGGTGAACAACGCTGACATTCAATCTCCCCAGTCGCCGGTGCCGAACATGACGTTCACAGCCGCCGACTGCCGGGGGATCACGTTCCCTCATGAGGATCCGTTGGTGATCATCGCCACGGTGGCCAACCACGACGTCAGTAAGGTCCTTGTTGACGGTGGCAGCGGAGCAAACATTCTGTTCCGAAAGGCCTACAATCAAATTAAGCTGAAGCCCAAGCACCTTACGCCGGTACCCTATCCGGTATCCGGGTTCAATGGGGCTTCAACTTATCCAGATGGGAAGGTGACACTTCCTGTCACCATCGGTTGCGATGAGGCAGCCCGGAACGTCATGATTGAGTTTTTGGTCATCGACGCTCCTTCAGTGTACAACGTGATTTTGGGGAGACCCATAATTCACGAGATCCAAGGGGTCGTCTCAACTTATCATCAGCTGATGATTTACGTCTCAGACGCCGGCTTCCCCGAAAGGATACAGGGCAACCAAAAGGACGCCCGAAGGTGCAACTACCTCAAGCCATCCAGTAGTCGCCCAGATGACGACAAGGATGAGGAGGAGAAAGAAAAAGAAGGAGAGCCAAGCACAAAAAAGCCGAAAGGCCTAAGTGCTTCGGCCCAAGGATCCGTGCCCAGAGAAAAAGGTCCCGAAAGGGAAAAGGTTGACTCTTCAGCTGAGCCGCAAGACTCAGAGAGCCAGCCGAAGAACACAAAGATTGGGACACCTGCTGACATTGGCAGCAGACCAGATTCTGAAGAGTCCAGTCCATCGGCAATGGACATGGACCAACAGACTGAAACAGTTGAGTTGGCCGAAGGAGATGCTGAGAAATGTGTAACAATCGGGATGGACCTTGATCCTAACACCCGTTGTGAACTTATTCAGCTCCTTCGGGATAACAGAGATGTGTTTGCTTTCTCGGCAGCTGATATGTCCGGGATAAGTTCAGACCTCATCTCCCATAAGCTTAATGTTGACCCAACGTGTCGACCAGTTAAGCAAAAGAAGCGGAATTACTCCGCCAATAAGAACCGAGACATCGCAGCCGAAGTCAAAAAATTATTGGAGGCAGGGTTCATTGAACCTTGCCAATATCCGGAATGGCTGGCAAATGTGGTGATGGTTCAGAAGCCCAATGGTACCTGGAGGATGTGCGTTGACTTCACGGACCTAAATAAGGCTTGTCCAAAGGATTTCTATCCCTTGCCAAGAATCGATCAGCTAGTCGATTCGACAAGTGGCCATGCCTTGCTTAGTTTCATGGACGCATTCTCGGGGTATCATCAGATCTTTATGCACCCCGACGATCGAGCCAAGACAGCATTCGTCACGAACGCTGGGGTGTATAATTACAAAATGATGCCCTTCGGATTGAAAAATGCGGGGGCAACCTATCAAAGGCTGGTGGATCAAGTTTTCGCCGATCAAAAGGGCCGAAACATGGAAGTCTATGTTGACGATTCAATCGTCAAAAGCAGAAAACTAGAGGACCATGTAAAGGACCTGGCTGAAACTTTCGCCACCTTGAGAAAGCATCAAATGAAGCTGAATCCGAAGAAGTGTGTCTTCGGCGTGAAGTCAGGGAAATTCCTGGGGTTCATGTTCAGCAAAAGGGGGATTGATGCCAATCCCTCTAAAGTCAAAGCGGCGCTCGACCTTCCTGAGCCGAAAACGAAGCGGGATGTTCAGCGGCTCACCGGAAGAATGGCAGCCCTCTCGAGGTTCATTTCCAGAGCTTCGGATAAGGGGTTACCCTTCTTCAAAGCCCTGAAACTCCCGAAAACAAAAGAGCTTGTTTGGGAGGAAGAGCAAAAAGACGCCTTTCAACAGCTTCGGGAGCATCTGGCTCGACTCCCAACGCTGGCTAGCCCAGCTGAAGGAGAAACTTTATACCTTTATGTGGTCGTTAGCCCGGCCACCATCAGCGCAGTATTGCTGAGGGAAGAGAGTAAGAGTCAACAACCGATCTATTTCGTCAGTCATACACTGACGGATGCCGAGACCC